ATACCTCACTTTAACTGGAGTAGAGAGAAGAAACGCTGCCCAGTTCTGTGTCCACATAGGATTTCAGGAATAATAGAAGAAGAAGAAAAAGCAGAGGAAAATAAAAGAGGAAGCTCATTTAAAAAAAGGAAAGAATGAAAAGAAAGTCTCCTCTGTTTGCAGCCCAGAGAACAGAATCCTTGCTGCTACCCTTGACCTTGCCACCTTCTCCTCCCTGTGGCCCAGCAGAACCAAATCTGGAGACTTCCACAGGTGACTCTGGGTGCAGCCTCAGCTCCTTTTCCTTAGGCCACGGGACAACGCCCTCAGCCCACTCCACAGTTCCTCCTATGCAGGGCCAGATGCTCTCGTTCTCTACCTGTTCTCTGCAGGGCAGAGGGCAAGAAAGGAGTCGTCAGAGCTTTAGAGGCCCCGAGAGCTTTGCTGCAGACCTGTTTTGCTGTGTGCCACAGACTCTCGGCAGCACACAAACACGTGTGCTCACGCGTCTCTGGTTGTCTGTAAACGGCTCCTCTGAACTAGACGGCTTCAGGGGTGGCACAGACAAGGTTTCAGTGGATGCTGCTAAAGTGTATGTGTTAACACTGCAATTTTCCAGGTGAGGAAAGTGAGAGACTAAAGGAGACAGCAACTATACCAGGGTGGCCCCAACCATGTGGGTTCCTGCCATGGCGAATCTGCTCCTTCTGTCCCTGGGCCTTCTGGAAGCAATTCAGGTACGGCTGTCCTCCAATGGCCCCATCCCCGCAGGCACCCGAGCTGTCAGGTTCTCCTGGATCCTGGAAGGAGGAGCAGAGGGATGAAGGGCCCTGTGATGCCTGCTGGGAGCACCTGGCCTGAGGGCACAGCTGCCGCCCGGTCCTGAGGAAACTTGCTGCTGTGTGTCCCAGCCTTCTTGCCTCCTGGGGTGTAGAGGCCCCTTATGGCATGCTAAGCAGTAGAAGCCACAAGGCATCTTGGCTGCTCTGTCTCCCTCAGGCCACACCTTGTCCTATAGGCCCAGAGCCACCTGGTCTAATGTCTAGACCTCTTCTTTCAGGTGACAGAGCTGGACATGGCCCTGGACTCTTTTGATGACCAGTACGTCGGCTGTGCAGCGGCCATGACAGCTGCCCTCCCGCGTCTCAACCTCACAGAGTTCCAGGCCAACAAAGTGTATGCGGATGGCTGGGCGGAGGCGAGCCGCAAGTGGCGTGAGCGCTGGGCCCGGGGCCCCGCAAGGCTGGCAACCTTGCCTGCGGGTTTCCGGGATGAGCATGGGGTGGCCCTGCTGGCCTACACAGACAAAAGCCCCCTTTACAGGGAGTTCAACAGCGCAGTACGCCAGGGGGGACGCTCCCGGGCCCACTACCTCCAGCACTTCTCCTTCAAGACCCTGCATTTCCTGCTGACCGAGGCCCTGCAGCTGCTGAGAAGGGACCAGCAGCAGTCCAGGTGCCATCAGGTGTTCCGGGGGGTGAAAGACCTGAGCTTCCGGCCAGCAGGGCCAGGGGCCACTGTCAGGCTGAGGGGCTTTGCCTCTTCCTCCCTGAAGAAAGATGTGGCCCAGAAGTTCGGCGAGGACACCTTCTTCAGCATCTGGACCTGCCTTGGGATCCCGATCCAGGACTACTCCGTCTTCCCTGAGCAGGCAGAGGTGCTGATCCCCCCGTCTGAGACCTTCCAGGTCATCAATGCAAGCAGACCAGAACAGGGCCCGGTCCACATCTACCTCCGGGCACTGGGCAAGCACAGCAAATACAACTGCGAGTACATCAAAGGTGAGGAAGACACACCTGTGCAGAAGGCACCCTCCCCCATTCACAAACCTTCAGCAAATACAGGTCCCAGTCCCCTAGGTCCATGTGACACTTAGAGAAGCACAAAATCCAAACTGAGTGAGCAGAACCAGTATGGGCACCAGCCCCTCCGCCCCTTCCAGCTACGGGGACAGCACACTCTGTCCTTGGAGGGAACCAAGTAAGGCTGACCATCCACTGGCTGGAAGGCTGCGGCAAGTTTCCTGACCAAGGCAGGGGTCCCTGATCATATTAGGGGCAGGTGGTCCCAGAGGCTGGAAGGGAAATGATTTCTGACTGCAGTACTGACACACAAATCACCAGTGCCAGTAATAAACAGAGCCTCCACCTAGTTTAGGTGAGGAGTGAAGTTACGAGAGAAATAGGGAACGTGTAGAGTTTCTAGAGGTGGGAGGTGAGGTGAGATGCAGGGGACGTTATGCCCTAAGTTGCAGTGCAGCTTGTGGTCAGGCAGATGGGAGTAGCTGGCCAGATGGGGAATGGATGTGCCCAGGGCTTCACACCAGCAGGGGCTGGGGGCTGCTCTCCTGGCTGGGCACAGCCCGGTCTGTATGGCGAGTGGCAGGGAGCTGATGGGAACTGTGGCTTCATCCCCCTCCGGGGCTGCACTCTGAGCTCTAGGAGTTGGTGGAAGTGAGGAGGACCCAGGAAGGGCACAATGCAGTCCCTCCTCGGCTGCAACAGGCACGGGAGAGGCCGCGTGTGCCTCAGAGACACAGAGACAGAGACGGATAGACTCCTATGCACAACAGCCAGGCTAGGCCAGGCCGAAGGGAACCCAGAGCTCAATGCCCGTCTCTCGTGAGTGTGACAAGGACCTGACTGCTGGAGCCACCACCTGCTGCCTCCCAGGTGCACATGAGCAGGAAGCTGGATCCCGGAGGGGAGCCAGGACTGGAACCTGGTTGTTCCCAGCAGTGTCCTAACCGCTGTTCCAAATGCCCACCTTGAGCCTTCGATTTCTTCCTCTTTCTTCCTACCGAAATGCAGTGCAAGTCTGGGCCCTGCCACCTGGACAATTCAGGTAACGGCTTCCGTGGGACTGGGCTCGGGGTGAGCACTCTGGCCTGGGCTTGGGCCGCTCACCTGGATTTTCCTTAGAAAGAAACAACCCTCTTAATTGAAAAAGCAAGCCCTCTCTTTTTTTTTTTTTTTTTTTTTTGACAGGCAGAGTGGACAGTGAGAGAGACAGAGAGAAAGGTCTTCCTTTGCCGTTGGTTCACCCTCCAATGGCCGCCATGGCCGGTGTGCTGCGGCCGGCGCACGGCGCTGATCCGAAGGCAGGAGCCAGGTACTTATCCTGGTCTCCCATGGGGTGCAGGGCCCAAGCACTTGGGCCATCCTCCACTGCACTCCCGGGCCACAGCAGAGAGCTGGCCTGGAAGAGGGGCAACTGGGACAGAATCCGGCGCCCTGACTGGGACCAGAACCCGGTGTGCTGGCGCTGCAAGGCAGAGGATAAGCCTACTGAGTCACAGCGCCGGCCCTAGCAAGCCCTCTTAACTGATCTGTCCCAGAGGGTACCATGAGGGTACTCTAAAAAGTCTTTGAAAAACAGAACTCAAGCCTGTTTATTTTGGTGCAGTAATTGAAACTCAATTGTCCGCCATCACTGCGGCTCACCAGGCTAATCCTCCGCCTGCGGCGCCGGCACCCTTGGTTCTAGTCCCTGTCGGGGCGCCGGATTCTGTCCCAGTTGCTCCTCTTCCAGTCCAGCTCTCTGCTGTGGCCCAGGAGTGCAGTGGAGGATGGCCCAAGTGCTTGGGCCCTGCACCTGCGTGGGAGACCAGGAGGAGGCACCTGGCTCCTGGTTTTGGATTAGCGCAGCACACCAGCCGTAGCGGCCACTTGAGGGGTTAACCAACAGAAAAAGGAAGACCTTTCTCTCTATATCTCTCTCTCTCACTAACTCTACCTGTCAAAAAAAAAAAAAAAAAAAAAAAAAAAAAAAAAAACACACACACACACAAGAGTAAGCCTTTAGCTTGTCAGTGCGGACGCCATGTTAGAATCCAGCGCTGAACCAGCCTTCGCTTCTGCGTCCAGTTCCCTGCTGATGCAGACCCTGGGTAGGAGCAGCAGGGGGAGCTCAGACACTGGGTGCCCACTTCCTCTGTGGGCTGCCTGATTGAGTCCCAGCTCCCAGCTTGGCTTGGCCCAGTCCCGGCTGTAGCTGGCATTTGGGGAGCTAATCAGTGGATGAAAGTACCCTCTCCACCCACCCTCAAATTTTTAAAAGTTTCCTGTTAAAATGTATTTATTTGAAAGGCAGAGAATATCATGGCTACGAAACCAACCGATCATTGTCTCTCTGTCTGCAGCCTCGGCTCAGGAGCGCCTCTCCACAGCCTGGTCCCTCCTGCTGCTGCTCGCCTTCCTTGCGGTGGGGCCCTTCCCAGGAAGCCCAGGCCTCTTCTGACCCCCCAGACTCTGGACATTCCTGCCTGCTGCCTCTGCCCACTCTGCGGATGCTGGCCACGCCCAAGGTGTACAGAGCCAGGATCCCTGGCACACCCATCTGCTGGAAATGTAGGCTTTCTATCTCTCTCTCTCTTTCTCTCTCTCTCTCTCTTTCTCTTCTCTCTCTCCCTGTAAGCTGCCAGACCTGCTGGTGGAGAAACAGGAGAGAATGTGGGGACTGAACCTCATCCAAAGGTCTAGCAGTGATACTGTGAATGGAGGGTGTCAGGGTGGGACACAACAGGACAGACGGCAACTCACTCGTAGAAGAGACTTCCACTCATGTCAGGGCTGAAGGGATTTGAGAGTGGGGTCCCTCTAATGCATCACCTGTCCACCTGGAGGCTCCTATTCTCCCCTCCCAGCAGCCCTCTCTGACCTCTCCCACCTGCTGGGGGAGGGGCCCTGCCTCTGTGCTCCCACAGGGCCCTGGTGCTTCCCCTATCACCTGTCCACATGTTCCTCCCGTGGATGACCATCAGCTTCCTGAGGGCAGGGACTGTTCTGACACACAGAGACGTTGGGAATCAGACAGGAACAAATACCTGCAAACAGCGGCTCCCTGCACTGTCCTACCTTGGACATGTTAGGTTCTCAGTCACTCTGGCGCATGGGCAGGGACTGGATCCAGCCTGGGAGACAGGGGCAGAGGGAACTGCAGGTTCTCTCAGGGCTCAGCAAACCCTAGTCTCTGTCTTGAGGACAAAGCTGTGACTTCCGCTCCAGTCCATGAATGCTGAGGTCCTGTCTCTAAAGAGACAAGCCGCTTCCATGGCTTCCACCACCGCTGCCCCAAGGGTAGGACAGGACACAGGGCAGGCACAAGGTACACACTCAGTTTATTATCAGCTGGAGCTTCACAGCCAATTGTCGGTGTGGCCTCCTGCTTTGGAATAGGCCATGAATCCCAAACTCTTCCCCAAGTCCCAGGGAAGGACAGGCAGGGCCCAGTCCCTCTCACAGCCACCGCCAGGCACAGGAAAGCTGGCCTTTGTGGTCCCGCACTCCCACCGAGAGCTCTGACAGCGGCCTGAACGCGTCAGTCCCCACCACTGAGCTTGGTCCTGAGCCTCCCTTGACTTCCTCCTCCCTAGGAACCAGGGGAGGGCAGACCCTGGACTTGCCCTAGTTGGGCTGCACAGACAAGCGCTCCGCTGTGGGCTATGGCAGCAGCAGTGCTGGTTCTCAGGAAAGATGGCCCAGGTTTAGGAGCAGCAGGGAGAGACCGCTGGGCACCAGCTGGCCTTGGCCATCCCTGTCTGCAGTGCTGCGGCTGTCACAGGCCCCAACCCAGACCCTCACAGGGCCTGCACCAGCACCAGGAGGCTCATGACCAAGGCCATGCCGAAGAAGATGCCCAGGAAGAAGCGGTCCATCACGCGAGCCAGGCGCTTCCAGTCCTCATGGCGGCGCTGGGCAGCCCGGTGGCTGCGGAAGGTGCTGGCAATGGTGGCCACGTGGCTCAGCAGGGCTTCCTGGCGGCATAGACACCGTGCCTCATGGCAAGGGCCTCCTTGTGAGCTGGCCCCTCCCTCAGGTGGCTGTGGGCTAGGGGGCGACTCTGGCGGCCGAGACTTCCCACACGGCTCCCCTCGTTCCCGCACGCACAGCCCTCGTGCCAGGTGTCCCAGCAGGAGGACTCGAGCCCAGGCAGGCACTGGGCGGGCACTGGGACCACAGTAATGCAGGTTCATGATAAGGATGGTGAGCGCTGTTGAGAATGTGACCATGGTCATAGTGGCCATGTAGTACTTCCCTGCAAGAGACAGAGCGATTCAGCAGCGCCTACAACAAGCACTGGGTAGCCCCAGCTTCCCACGTGCACAAACAGGAACAAGCCAGGAGGCTCTCAGGACCCCACCCCACCAAGCCCAGTGCATGGAAGTAGGGGGAGGTAAGGGTCCAGTTCTCTCCTCCCCTGTTTCCTGCAGGTGCATTCTCAGGAGCTACAGTTGTCACAGCCAGAAGCTCATTCACCCACAGTCCCTAAAAGTGCCGTTCTGGGCCGGTGCTGTGGTACAGAGGGTTGAAGCCCCAGCCTGCAGTGACGGCATCTATGTGGGGGCCTTTTTGAGTTCAGTTGCTAAGCTTCCGGTCTAGCTTTCTGCTATGGCTTTCGAAAGCCATTGAGATTCGCCCCTGACCTTGGGCACCTGCACCCGAGAGAGACCCTGAGGAAGCTGCATCCCCTGTGGTAAATTGGGGAGTGAACCAGCAGATGGAAGACCTCTCTGTATCTCTGCCTCTGCCTCTCTAACTCTGCTTTTCAAGTACATCAATGAATCTTAAGAAAAAAAAGAAAAGTGCAACTCTCCGGTCCGACCTAGGCCAGGACTGTCCCCTGAAGCACATTTCCCATAAGGAAGGAAATCGACCTCACAGGTTCAGGGAGGGCTTACCTGAGCTGATCAGCAGTGCACAGCTGGCTCTCGGTACATTCTGCCTAATACTACCACATTGGGTAGGCAGAACATCCACCACCACCTTGAGAAAACACTGACTGCTTCCTGCTCACGGCCGGGAGGGTGTTCTCCCTGCGGGGGGCCACTCCCCCCTCTGTCTCAAAAGAAGGTGTGCTCCCAGAATGCCTCCCCCAGCTCTCAGACACACACACGGGCGCCCCCCTCGCGCTCACCGATGAGCGGCACACTCTCCGCCGGGGGCATGCTCTCGGCCAGGATCAGCTGGAAGACGGTGAGCGCCAGCAGCACGGTGACGCCCAGGGACACCTTCTCGCCCGAGTCGGCCGGCAGGTGGAAGGCGAGCGGCGCGAGCAGCGAGATGAGCACGCAGGGCAGCAGCAGGTTGCACACGTAGGCGGCGGCGCGGCGGCGCAGCAGCAGCGTGAAGGTCACGTCGGGGTAGGGCTCGGAGCAGCAGCCATAGGTGAGCACGCGCCGCCGCGCCGGCATGCCCAGCACGCGCCACTCCACGTTCTCCACGAAGTCGGCCAGGCTGGCGGCGTCGCCGCGCGGCCGCACGTCCAGCTGGTGCCCGCCGTGCGTCCAGGAGCCGAACGTCAGTCCGCAGCGCTGCGCGTCGAATGGGAAGGCGGCCACGTCCACGCGGCAGGAGCTGCGCGTGATGGCCGGCGCGTCCCAGCGCACGGCGCCGTCGTGCCGCAACACCACGTTCGTGCTTGCCGACGCTGGCTGCTGCGCGTCCGCCCTGGGGGCAGGCGGAGCAGAGTCACCTGGGTGCCCGTCATCTGAGCCTCGACCCTCCAGGGGCTCTGTGACCCGAGGGACGCCCTTTGGCCACCGCGCGGCAGCACGGAGGGTGGAATGCGCCCGATAGAGGGCGCTCTGCCCTTGCAGACTGGGAGGGGCCGCGTTCAGGGCTACCACAAGGAGCGCAGGTTCAGCTCTGTGCAGTCTGAAAAGGCCACACAGTGACTTGCCTTGGGAGTCACCCACCAGGCTCCTAGAGGCCCCGGGGAATTGCGCAGAGGGTGTGTTTGCGGCGAGACACAGACCTGGTTCGGGCCACGAGGAGTAGCCCTGGGTTGGCATGGAAGGCTGAGGGGGTGGCTTAGAGAGGCACTGGGATACAGAGCTGGCCCTGATGGACAGCTCAGTAAAATCTCAGTCTGGGTTGTCTGAGAACAGCCTCGAGTTGGGGAGCCACGGAAGGACTGTGATCTCCTGGCCTTGTAGGAGGGTCTGCCCTTCCAGGGCAGCTTAGCAACTGGCTTAGGCGGTGGGGAAGGGGCGTCAGTCCACCCAGGGCTGAGATGGCTCTTGCCGGGCAGGGGGAGGGGCGCAGGCAGGCAGTACTTGTTGTAGAGCACGATGTCTGGCCGCCACACGAGCCTGCTGGGGATGCGGATGGCATCCAGGCCGCCATAGGCATCCGGGTCCCACCGCAGGTAGGCATCAGTCCACTCCTGCCGGATCCATAGGTACAGCGTCAACACCTGGTTCCGCTCGTCCTGGTGAGGGCAGGGAGTGGGCACAGATACGGACACGCTTGCGAGTCTATGCAGACCCTCCCTGTTTGTGCACAGTCAGCTTCAGGACGCTGGTCAGGACGTGCAAACCCGACTTGCAGGGGTGATAGAAAATCCCCACTCAGCAGCGATTCAGTGAGTTCAAGTGAGCAGATGTTTGAACACACGGTGGATACCCACCAGTTAGTAGGTTAACCAATGTTGTTAATTTTTTTAAAAGATTTATTTTACTTGAAAGAGTTACACAGAAAGAAGGAGAGGCAGAGAGAGAAGTCTTCCATACTCTGGTTCACTCCCCAATTGCTTGCAACAGCCAGAGCTGTGCTGATCCGAACCAGGAGCTTTTTCCAGGTCTCCCACATGGGTGCATGGGCCCAAGCACTTGGGCCATCTTCTACTGCTTTCCCAGGCCATAGCAGAGAGCTAGATTGGAAGTGGAGCAGCTGGGACTCGAACCGGCACCCATATGGGATGCCAGCACTCTGATGGCAGCTTTACCTGCTTTGCCACAGCTCCGTTCCCAATTTTTTTATTTTTTTATTTTTTTTTTAGGATTAGTTCTTAGAAGGCAGAGTGCAGAGAGAGAGGGAGTTACAGATATTTTCCATTAACTGGTTCATTCCCCTAATGGCTCAAAAGGCTTGGGCTATGTCCGTCTGAAATCAGGGTCCTCCATGTGGGTACAGGGGCCCAAGGGTTTGGACCATCTTCTACTGCTTTCCCAGACCATCTGCATGGAGCTGGATAGGAAGTAGAGCAGCAGGGACTCGAACCAATGCCCAAGTCGGATGCTGGCGCTGCAGGCTGCAGCTTAATCCGCTGTACCACAGCACTGGCCCCTGTAGTTATGTTTATAGAAAGAATTGCTTGCAAGAGTAATCCTAGTCCCACCCCTCATTCCCTCCCCACAGCAGTATCAGCACTACATACCATGTCGATGATCTGGGACAATGTCACCTCCAGGGTCACATTCAGAGTCTGGTCTGTGTCTGCCACAGGTCTCAGGGCACTTGTGTAGTTGGCGAAGAGGTCACGGAACAGCTTGTGAGCCAGCCTGCCCTCAGCTCCCTGGCACTCTGCAGAGCCAGTAAGTATGGTTGTCCACCCATGACCCCAACTGGGGCCTCTGCTGAGGCCCTCCAGCCCTGTCACGTGCTGCACTGTCCTACAGCCTTCTGAATGGTGCCTCTGTGCTCTGCCCTGGACGAAGGCCCAGGAGGTACTATCAGGACTTGGTACTATCTTCTGCAGCCGGCTGCTGGTTTCTCCCCAGCCTTCCCTTCTGGATTCTGCCTCCTCCACCACAGGACTTCCACCCAAGCCATCTGCACCTCACTGCCCGGTGCACTGCCGTCTCAGGCCTGCTTCCAGTTCTCCTGCTGCACGTCTGCTGGTCTCTTCAAAGGTCCTGGCACCTGAGGACATCCCCCTCTCCTGAAAAGACCCTTCCTTTATCTTAGGTTTTCTCAATAGTTTCCTCAGGCCCTGCCTGAGTACTGGCCCCCAGAATCCTGTCCTTGGCTCTCTTCTTTCTCTTTGGCCCAGATTTGCCTTGAGCTCCAGACTTATACATACCACAGTCCACTGTTCAGTGTCTCACGGGCACCTTAAACTGTTCCCTCATGCTCTGAAACCTGCTTTTTTTTTAAAAAAATATTTACTTATGGCCGGCGCCGTGGCTCAATAGGCTAATCCTCCACCTGTGGTGCCGGCACCTGGGGTTCTAGTCCCGGTCAGGGCGCTGGATTCTGTCCCGGTTGCTCCTCTTCCAGGCCAGCTCTCTGCTGTGACCTGGAAGTGCAGTGAAGGATGGCCCAGGTCCTTGGGTCCTGCACCCGCATGGGAGACCAGAAGCACCTGGCTCCTGGCTTCGGATCAGCACGGTGCACCGGCTGCAGCGCGCCGGCCGTAGCGGCCATTGCGGGGTGAACCAAAGGAAAAAGGAAGACCTTTCTCTCTGTCTCTCTCTCTCACTGTCCACTCTGCCTGTCAAAAAAAAAAAATTACTTATTTCCATTTTATTTGAGAGGCAGAGAGAGAGAGGCCGTCCATCCACCTGTTTACTTCCCAGATGCCTATGATAGCCAGGGCCTGGGCCAGGAGCCTGGATCTCCATCTCCCTTGAGCCAAAATCTGCTGCCTCCCAGGTTGTTCATCAGCAGGAAGCTGGATCAGCAGCAGAGGAATGGGGCTTGAACCAAGCTGTCCCACATGGGATTTGTTGCTCCCAAGAAGCATCTTAACCACTGCACTAAATCTGCTTCTAAACATCTGTTCCACCTCAATGAAGAGCACCCAGAGACCTCGGCTGGAAACCCGAGAATTGCCATTCCCTTCTCCTTCCACTGCAGCGCAGTCTCAATCCTGTCAGATCATCCAAATCCCCCAAATCCTGCTATCCATCTTTTTTTATTTTTATTTATTAATTTTTTTTGCAATGCGATATAGAGGTGAGCACTATGCCTTTTTTTTTTAAGCTTGTTTATTTATCTGAGAGGCAGAGAGAGAGAGAGAGAGAGAGAGAGAGAGAGAAGCACAAAGAGAGATCTTGCATCTGCTGGTCCACTCTTTAAAAAGTTGACTGCAATGGCTGGAGCTGGGCCAGGTTGAAGCCAGGAGCCTGGAACTCCATCCTGGTCTCCTACATGAGTGTTCAAACACCAGGCCATCCTCCCACTGCCTTCCCAGGTTCATGACTGGGGAGCTGGATTGGACCCATGATCCAATACAGGTGCCAGCATTGCAGGCAGTGGCTTAAACCACTGCACCACAACATCGGGCCGAACTAAGCGTCTCTTGAATCACTCTTTCCCTGGTGCTCAGCCCTTCCCTCTCACTTGCACCATGGCAGCAGCAGCAGCCTCCTCACTGCTCCCCTGCCTCATGCTCACCCTCTCCTACTACCCTCTGCCCGTTCCATAGATCAAGCTTTTGTACATACAAATCCCACCAAACCAGCACCTGTTTAAAACCCTGCTGTGGCTCCCCGTGGACGGCAGGCGAAAGCCTGGGTCTGGCACTCAAGGCCCTGTGACTTTTGCAGCCCTTTCTCTGGATGCTGCCCCCTCACTGCTCCCATCTCAGCAGGCAAGTTTCCTCTCCCCCTCTTCAGCACGCCATTTTCCCATACCCTGCAGACAGGAGCTTGTTCTAAGTACAGATACTAAAGAGAAAGGGAGATTTAGGGAGGCCAGAGGCTGTAGCCACATCAGGCCAGGCCAGGGCTGGTTCCCTGAACGTCATACCTGGAGGGAGAAGGAGCAGGAGCAGGAGGCCCAGGTTGAGGTGGTGGCTCCCAGGCGCCATGGCCCTTCACAGCAAGAGGTGGGGCAGGTCTCTGGGCGTAAGGCCTCCTGGCTGGACCTAGTGCAGCATCAGGCCCAGCGCACAGTACCTGAAGTCAAAAGTACAACTGAGCGTCTTGTGGCCCTTCCAGTTATCTGACCCTCCTCTGTCACTATCTGATCCTTGGCATCTGCTGGCCTCTGTCTCTATCCCCTGCTACTGTCACGGTCGTCTTTCCCTCGGCAACTCTGTCCTGCTCTCTGCTCCCCTGACTCTGACCTTCCTCTCTGCCTCTTTGCACTCTCCCTTCACTTTCTACTCTCTGCCTCACTGCCTTGCTCCATTCCCATACCGGGGCTCCAGGTGAGCCTGGGGCTGTCTCAGCAGAACAGGGGGCAGGGGACTCTTATCAGCCCTGAGCAGTCAGTCTGAGGCACAGAACAGCTCCTCCCCTGCCTATCCTGTGCCCATGGTAACAGAGCAACTGAAATTGACACCTCAGGCTTCTGGGACCTAAATTATTCAAATTCTGTAAAGCGACAGGCAGCTCAGCTCAGGGCCATAGTGGGGGCTTGGAGTGAACAGGGGTGCAGGGCTCAGAACTTGCACAGGGCAATGGCCTCAGGTGGGTATCTGTCCCCAGCTCTGCCACCACTGCCTGGGTCCCGCCCAGGGAGGGGCCAGGTAATCCGTGCCACACCAGCTCTCTCCTCCAGCTAAGGGTGCTGCTGAGCCTACACCACTCCAGGTGGTTCCAAAGAACAGAAGCCGCAGGACACATCCTTTCCTGAGTTTTCTTACTGTGCCCAGACAGCAAGGGCAATACAGCACTCTCCGCTTTGTTTTCTTTCTTAAGATTTATTTATTTGAAAGGCAGAGTTACAGAGAGGCAGGGAGAGAGAGAGAGAAGTCTCCCATCTGTTGGTGCACTCCCCAAATGGCTGCACAGAGCTGGGTTGATTCAAATCTAGGAGTCAAGACCTTCTCCCACGTGGGTGTAGGGACCTAAGCACTTGGGCCATCGTCTGCTGCTTTCCCAGGCACATCAGCAGGGAGCTGGAACAGAAGGGGAGCAGCCGGGATTCGAACTGGCACCCATATGGGATGCTGGCGCTGCAGTCTAGGGCTTTAACCCACTGTGCTGGCCCCTGATTCTGTGCTCATTCTCCAGTGCATTCCTGTCTCTTAGGAATTAGATGCTTACATAAATCCACACATCTTTCCAGCATCTTTCTCTAGATGTGGCCCAAGCATTTCACATTAAAATGTCTCAGAGACTCCAATATCCATTCATGCTAAAAGCTCTCAATACACTCAGAATAGACAGAGGGAAGCTCACTCAATTTGACAATGAAAATCTACCTTAAAAAAATCAAAATCCTATATAACTAGTATTATAGTTAATTAATGTTGAGAAACTAGCTTTCCCCCTAGGATCAGAATGAGGAGGAAGTCCTCTCCTATTCATCGTATTGAAGTCTTAGCTAATTCAACAGGACAAGTAAATGAGATTTTAAAAAGATAGATTGGGAAAGAAGAAATAAAACTGTATCTACTTGCAAATGATGGTGGGAGACCGGATGGAGTTTCTGCATGGTGCAGCTCAGGCTATTGCAGGCATTTGTCTGCCTCTGTCTTTTGTTCTTTCAAACACAATGAAAATAAAAAACAAATAGGTCTACATAGAAAGATATTTAATATTCATGGATTGAAAAAATCAATATTGTTACTTCCTTCCAAATTGATATATAGATTCAGTGCAATCTCAATCAAAATCAAAGCAAGTTATTTTGTGGATATCAATAAACTGGTTCTAAAGTTTATATGAAACAAAGACACAGAATAGCCAATACAATACTGAAAAAGAAAAAAATTTAAGGACTGACATGATCCAACTTTAAGACTTACTATAAAGCTACAGTAATCAAGATGATGTGATGGTGGCAAGAGAAGAGACAGATCAATGGGAACAGAATAAACTATCCATTCTATCTACACAAAACACGGCCAACTGATTTCTTAAAAAAAAAAAAAAAACAGCAAAGGCAATTCCATGGAGAAAGGCAACTGGATATCCTCAAGCAAAAAGAAAAAAGAACCCAGAACCTAGATGTAAATCTTAAGGTCTTTCACAAAATTAACTCAAAATAGATCATAGACCTAAATAAATAATGCAAAAGTATAAGACTTCAATGGGGCCGGCACTGTGGCGTGGCGGGTAAGAACACCACCTGCAATGCTGGCATCCCATATGCCTGCCGATTCAAGTTCCTGCTGCTCCATTTCCGACCTAGCTCTCTGGTATGACCTGGGAAAGCAGAAGATGGCCTAGGTCCTTGGTCCTGCGTGGGAGACCTGGAAGAAGCTCCTGGCTCCTGGTTTCGATTGGCCCAGCTCTGGCCACTGCAGCCATCTGAGGAGTGAACCAGCGGATGAACACTTCTCTCTCTCTGCCTCAGCCTCTCTGTAACTGCCTTTCAAATAAACAAACAAACCTTTTTTAAAAAAAAAAATGTATAAGTCTTCAGGAAGATGACAAAAGAAAAAAAACTAGGTTACTTTGAGCTTGCAAATTAAAATTTAAAAAAATTTTTTGCATTTATTTTTATTTTACTTGAAAGCCAGAGACATAGAGATCTTCCATCTGCTGGTTCACTCCCTAAATGCCTGCGATTAACCAGGACTGGAACCGGGCTCTGATTAGGAATGTGGATGTCTCAGGCAGTACTTAAATACTGCACCAAACAACAGCCCCAGCAGTGACTTTTTAAATACCAAAAGCACAATCCATGAAAGAAAAAAAATTAACATGTTTGGCTTCCTTAATAACTTTTCTACAAAAGATGTTATTAAGGGGGGCCGGTTCAAGTCCTGGCTGCTTCACCTCCAACCTGGCCCTCTGCTATGGGCTGGGAAAGCAGTGGAAGATGGCCCAAGTCCTTGGGCCCCTGCACCCACATGGGAGACCTGGAAGAAGCTCCTGACTCCTGGCTTCGGATCAGCTCAGCCTCAGCTGTGTGGCCATCTGGGGAGTGAACCAGTGGATGGAAGACCTCTCTCTCTCTCTGCCTCAGCCTCTCCATAACTCTTTCAAATAAAAATAAATCAATCTTGAAAAAAAGATGCCATTAGGATGATAAGAGGGGCCAGCGCTACAGTGTGGGCTAAGCTTCCACCTGCAGTGCTGGCATCCCATATAGGTGCTGCTCCTCTTCCGATCCAGCTCTCTGCTGTGGCCTGGGAAAGCAGAAGATGGCTGAAGTCCTTGGGCCCCTGCACCCGCCTAGGAGAACCAAATGGAGTTTCTGGCTTCAGCCTGGCCCAGCCCCAGCTGTTGACCATCTGGGAGTGAACCAGCAGATGGAAGAACTGACTCTGCCTTTCAAATAAATAAATAGGTCTTTAAAAAATGGCAAATTTTGTTGCCCCTCTTCCAGGCCAGCTCTCTGCTGTGGCCCGGGAGTGCAGTGGAGGATGGCCCAAGTACTTGGGCCCTGCACCCCATGGGAGACCAGGATAAGCACCTGGCTCCTGCCATCGGTACAGCGTGTTGCGCCGGCCGCAGCGTGCCGGCCGTGGCGGCCATTGGAGGGTGAACCAACGGGAAAAAGGAAGACCTTTCTCTCTGTCTCTCTCTCTCACTGTCCACTCTGTCAAAAAAAAAAAAAAAAAAAGGCAAATTTTATGTGAAATCTCTAAAAAATGCTACAAACTTATGTATAAAGATTTCAATTTTTAAAAATTTATTTTTATTTATTTGAAATTCAGAGAGACAGAAACCTCTCATCCATTGATCCACCCTTCTAAAAGTGCACAACAGCCAGGGCTGGGACAGGCTGAAGCCAGGAGCCTCTCTCTGGGTCTCCTACGAGGGTGGCAGGGATCCAAGTACTTGAGCCATCACCTGCTGCCTCTCAGCAGCATTAGCAGGAAGCTGGAACGCAGAGACAATCTGGGACTCCATCCCAGGCATATGGGATACAGGCATCTCAGGCAGTGTCTTAACTGCTGAGGCAAACACCTGTCCCTAAACGAATACAGAATCTTATTAGACATTGCTCGCAAGCACAAAAAAGGATGTTTCAGCTTATCAGTCATCAAGTGTGCATTTGCTGCTGTAACAACACAAACATAGGATGGGTGGTTTACATACAACAGACCTTTCTCACAGTTCTGGCGGCTGGGACTTCCAACATCAGGAAGCCAGCCGACAGTGATGTGATTCTCTGACTGCTGTGTCCTCAGGTCTCTGGGGTCTCATTCATAAGAAAAATAATCCTATTCCTGAGGGCTCCATCCTTATACCCTAATCATCCCCAAAGGCCCATCCATCAGTCTGGCAGTTAGCTTTCAACATATGGATTTGGGGAAGGGGCAGAAATAAACCTTTAGACCACAGTGTCAGGAAAATGCAAATTTAAACCCTAACTGATATCACTTCATGGTCATAGGTTTGCTGTAATCAAAATGATGAACCACAGCAAGTGTTCATGAAGATGTAGAGAAACTGCAATTGTCATAATATATTGCTCAGAGAGGGTAAATCGTGCAGTCCTGGTGAACTTTTGCAGAGTTATCGTATATCTCAGGAATTCCACTTTGAGGTATATGCTTGAGACAATGGGAGCATGTCTGCAAAAAACTTGTATGTGAACGGCCATACCAGCATCATCCAAATATCCACAAAGTGGAAACAATACAAATGTCACTTAACTGATCAATGTATAAGAAAAGTGATATATCTGTAAAATGGAATGTTATTTTGTCATAAAAAGGGATAGTTTTTTTTTTTTTTTTTGACAGGCAGAGTGGACAGTGAGAGAGAGACAGAAAGGTCTTCCTTTTCCGTTGGTCCACCCTCCAATGGCTGATGCGGCCAGCGCGCTGCAGCCAGCGCACTGCGCTGATCCGAAGCCAGGAGCCAGGTGCTTCTCCTGGTCTCCCATGCGGGTGCAAGGCCCAAGGACTTGGGCCATCCTCCACTGCACTCCCGGGCCACAGCAGAGAGCAGGACTGGAAGCAACTGGGACAGAATCTGGCACCCCAACCGGGACTAGAACCTGGTGTGCCGGTGCCGCAGGCGGAGGATCAGCCTATTGAGCCGCGGTGCTGGTCAAGATACGGTATTAATACATGCCACAACATAGATGAAGCCAGTCACACAAGACTACATACTATATGATTGTATATTTATATTCGGTAAAAACAATGCTGTAGGGATGGAGAACACACTGGGGTTAGGAACAAGGAGGGGCTGTGACTATAAAGAGTGAAGAATTGGGAGTTTCTTTAGGTGATGGAACTGTTTTGTATTCTGTTTGGTTATTTAAATTCATCTGTTTCAAAATTAGTAGAAAAGCACACAAGAGCAAGCCAAGACAGGTATTTGGCAAGGTGGTTAAGATGCCAGTTAAGATGCTTCACATCCGATATTAGAGCACCTAGGTACAAGTTCTAGATCTGCTCCTGATTCTAGCTTCCTGGCAGTAGGTAATTCAAGAAACTGGGTCCCTGCCACACACATGGGACACCTGGATTGAGCTCCTGGCTTCTTCCTTTGGCCTGACCCAGCTGGGTCATTACATGCATTGAATGTGAACCAGCAGTTGAGAATTCTGTCTCTCCAATAATTGTTTCAAAAAGGGTGACTTTCCTACATAATTTTTTTTAAAGATATTGATTTGTAAGGTACAGTAACAGAGAGGGAGGGTTGGTGAGAGGCACAGCAAGAACAGGAGCCATATATTCCATCTAGTGGTTCACTCCCCAAATGGATCTGAGTCAGGCTGAAGCCAGGAGCCAGGAACTCCATCCAGGTCTGCCAAGTGGATGGCAGGGCCCATTATTTGCTGCCTGACCAGGTGCACCGGCTAGGAGCCGTATCAGAAGCGGAGCAGCTTGTACTCAACTGACACTCTGATATGCTATGCCTGCCTTGCAAGCAGCAGCTTAAACCAACAGCCAGGGTTGGGCCAGACTGAAGCCAGGAACCCAGAATTCAATCTAGGTTTCCATGAGTGGCAGGGACTCAAGTACTGGAGCCATCATCTGTTGCCTCCCACAGTACATGTTAAGCAGGAAGCTGGGATTGAGAGCAGAGCTCAAACCCAGGCATTGTGATACAGGATGTGGGTGTCCCAAGCAATAAGTCAGCTTCTGCACCACACATCCACCCTAGCCTTAAGTATAAATAATACCTGCCTTAAGAGAAATACTGCCCATATTCACAATTGTTAATGCTGCTAAATGCTAACCACTTTCATAGCACATTCTTGAAAAAACACCTCTGGAAAGGAAAGCAGCTTGAGAATTGTTAGAAGCCCAGGCCATGCTCTATGATTCAGTCACTCCACTTTACACAGTGGCTCAATAATGAAGGGGAGACCACCAGCTGAGGAGCTCTGGGGCCTAAGTAAAATAGAAGCCTCAGCCACAGGGCAGACCTGTTTTCTCATCCTTGAATTCCTTAATGTCCCAGAAATATTTGGTTACATTGCAATTTGGCATGTACTCACATATTCAATTTGAAAAAGTCAAAGTAAGATCTGAATGGTTCTCAGGTTGCTTATTTGATCTTTCTCAAAAATAGTCTGTGTAAAGCAGTATATATGGAAACCTGCATTTAGGGGCCAGTGCTGTGGCACAGGTCGTTAAAGCCCTGGCCTGCAGAGCTGGCATCCCATATGTGCGCTGGTTCAAGTCCTGGCTGCTCCACTTCCAATGCAGGTCCCCACTAATGTGCCTGGGAAAGTAAGAAGAGGGCCCAAGTCCTTGGGTCCCAGCACCTACGTAGGAGACCTGGAAGAAACTTCTGGCTCCAGATTGGCTCAGCATTGGCCATTGCAGCCATCTGGGGAATGTACCAGCAGATGGAAGACCTCTCTCTCTCTCTCTCTACCTCTCTCTGTAACTCTTCCAAATAAGTAAGATGAATATAAAAAAAAAATTTGCACTTAGCAAAGTGAAGTGTGACCTAATGTTTAAAAACAAAAAATAACAGCAGAGCGAGGAGGCTTTGAACGATAAGCATATTCTATTGGACAATGAGTCCCCAGTTGGGAATTAATATGCATCCATGTATGGATAGTAGTCAGCATTAACCCATCAACACCCTCACCCCTAACCTTGACCTTAGGAATCTAGCAGTCTCTATTTCAGTTTAGCATCAAATTACACTCTCCTCAATCAATGGCCTGTCTCCATTTACACTGCAGATTGAAAAACAAGTTAAACAAAAAAGGCTACCATAAATATCCTCAGGGCAAGAAGACTCAAAAATACAAAGGGCAAGCCAATACCAGGAATGCTATAAACATTTCATTTTATTAATTTTTTTAAGAAAGTAGCTTCAGAAAAAGAAGAAAATAATCTAGATCATTTATTTTTATATATATATATTTTTAATAAAAACCTTTACATAATCTTCATGCATAAAGACCCAGGGGTGGCCGTGTTGTGTGTGACAGCCTTAACACCAAGCTGTCTCAGGCCCTTCCCTGGGGCTCCTCACAGCTGGCAGCGGTGTAGCCAAGGCCCTCTGCCTGACTCTACAGCCCAGCTCCTTGCCAGCCTCACTGGCAGTTCCACATTCTGGGAGGGCAGATGGAGGGTGGGAAATGTTTTGGGGCTAGAACGGGAGGGTCATGTTTTAATTCTCCAGGCAAATCCAGACAGGAGTCCCAGCAAGATGACTGAAAACAAGGGTCCAAACCAAGTTCTGGAAGCTTCTCACAGACTCGTGACATGTGACCAAGGGCTGCTGCTGTACACGGTTGTAGGGAGAGTATAGTGTTCATGGACATCCAAGGCAAGAATAAAACAAGCCTTGAAGATCATCCATTCATGGCAGGCATTCACTTCTACTCTAAATATGTTGGAAAGATGCCATCCTGTATCCTCAGTCCAACCCTCTTGATTTCAAAAGGCAGTGTTAACTAATCAATCTATTTGAGACAGATTCATCGTCCTTTTGTGGACAGCTCCCCTGCTAAGGAAGGACAGTCCTAGATCAACACATTTGTCCCATCACTTGTCTCACTCCTTGTTAAGAGTTCTGGTATAAAAGGACTCGCGTAGGTATAGGGTAGCAGGCTGTCCTAGAGAATCAGAAGGTTCAGAATTCTGGGGGGTAGAAAAGGATTCCCTGTTTTTTGGGGGGATTCTGCCAGAGGAGCTTTATTGACCATTTTCAAAAAGGAAAAACAATTGTATGGTCTTAAGAGTGGTAAAAGGAGACTCGTCTCTCCTGTTCTGGGTTCCAGAAGCCCTTATGCAACGTTCAGTATTAAGAAAAGCCCTGAACAACTGGAGGATGCTGCATGGGGCAGCAAGTAGGGAGGGTGGATTCCATCCACAGCCAACCCAGAGAATGGCACATGCTGCCAATCAGAACAATGCTAGGGAACCTCTGTGTGGTGGGCGTCAATGACCATGTGAGTATGGTGAGAGGAACCCGGTGCTCACTGGCTCCCAACAGTCAGTTCTCGCAGATAGGACTGTGTGAGGCTGCGCAGTTCCTCCAAGGCATAGTCTTCAGGCATGGGGAGGCGGCCAATGTGGGGAGCCAACAGGCGCAAAGGAACTCGCTGAGGGTCTGGCGTTGAATCAGAGGTGGCATCAGGGGTGTGCTGCAGGCTCAGTACCACCCGCAGCAAATTGGCGACACACTTGGCCATGTCTGAAGAGAAAAAGTGGAGTGAGCACTGAGGATGAGGTATTGGGGAAGGGTGGGCACCAGGAGTGGGTGAAGTCATTATAAAAATAGGAAGCAAGTGGGCATGAGGCAGGGAGAGGTTAGAGGCTTACCTGACTGAGCCAGGCGATCCTTGGCATTGTAACACTGAATCTGCTCTATCCGATTGCACAGTGAAGTGACTTTGGTGTGTAACTGCTCCAGCTCATAACTCGAGAAATCCACCTACAGAGAAACAGAGAACACAATGTGTTCAGTATTCTATTCCCACCCACCCACAGACCCTCTACAGAAAACCCTGAGGCAACAGTGAGGTGAGGAGTGGGAAGCTGGTTGGCAGTGCTATGCTACCACTGTCTACCCTAATGGCTGAGGGCCAGGCACTCAGTGATAACTCACATGAACAATGTAATGGTGTAGAACCTTGGACTCAGTCTCAAGATCATGATTTATAGGCCATATAGATAAATTTGGGCTCAGAAATATGGCATGATTTTTTTTTTTAATTTGAGAGGCAGAATTAGAGAGAGAGGAAGAGACAGAGAGAAAGGTCTTCCATCAGCTGGTTCATTCTCCAAATGGCTGCAACAACCAGAGCCAGGCATTTCCGAGGCCAGGAGCCAGGAGCTTCTTCTGGATCTCCTATATGGGTACAGGGGCCTAGGCACTTGGGCCATCTTCCACTGCTTTACCATGCCACATGAGAGCTGGATATGAAGTGGAGCAGCCAGGACTCAAACCGGCGCCCATATGGGATGCCGGCACCTCAGGCAGCAGCTTTACCCACTATGCCACAGTGTCAGCCCCATGGTATGACTTCTTAAGAGTACACGTAGTAAGCAGTACAGCCCAAACTAGAGTTGAATTCTGGTTTCCTGACTCTAACACTCTAACTTCATAGTCTTCTTTTTTTTTTTAAAGATTTTTTTAAAGATTTATTTATTTACTTGAAAGTCAGAGTTACACAGAGAGAGAAGGAGAGACAGAGACACAGAGAGAGAGAGAGAGAGAGAGAGAGAGAGAATGAATCTTCCATCCGCTGGTTCACTCCCCAATTGGCCATAATGGCTGGAACTGTGCCAGTCTGAAGCCAAGCGTGAGGAGCTTCTTCCGGGTCTCCCATGCAGGTACAGGGGCCCAAGGACTTGGGTCATCTTCTATTGCTTTCCCAGGCCATAGAAGAGAGCTGGATTGGAAGTGGAGCAGCTAGGACTCAAACTGGCAGCCATAAAGGATGCCAACACTGTAGGTGGCAGCTTTACCCACTATACCACAGCACTGGCCCCACTTCATAGTCCTTTCTAAAACACCAGAGAACCTTCTTCTCACTCTACGTACTATAAATATATTTTTAAAGATTTATTTATTTATTTGAAAGTAAGAGTTACACAGAGAGAGGAGAGGCAGAGAAAGGGGAGAAGGGAAGGAGGGAAGGAGGAAAGTAGGGAGAGAGGGAGGAAGGGAGAGAGAGAGAGAGAGAGATAGGTCTTCCATTCGCTGGTTCACTCCCCAGTTTGCCACAAAGGCTGGAGCTGCACTGATCCAAAGTTAGGAGCCAGGAGTTTCCTCTGGTCTCTCACATAGGTGCAAGGGCCCAAGGACTTAGGCCATCTTCCACTGCTTTCCCAGGCCACAGCAGAGAGCCAGATCAGAAGTGGAGCAGCTGGGACAAGAACCAGCACCCATATTTGATGCCAGCACTGCAGGTGGCGGAGTTACCTGTTACACCATAGTGCCGGCCCTTATAACATTTTTTTCAAAGATTTATTTATTTCAAAGGCACAGCAACAGGGGAGAGGGAAGACAGACAATCTTCCATGTGCTGTTTCATTCCCCATATGGCCACAAATGTCGAGGCTGCACCAGGCTGAAGCCCCAAGCTAGGAACATCATCCAGATCTACCACATGGGTGGCAGGGGTCCAAGTATTTGGGCTATGTCCTGCTGCCTTCCTAGGTGCATCAGCAGGGAGCTGCATGAGAAATGGGGCAGCGGGAATTTGAACCGGTGCTGAAACGGGATGCCAGCATTGAGGCACCAGCATAAGCCACTGTGCTTCAATGCCAATCCCTCCTTATATATTGCGTTCTATTCCCAGGGCTACAATTATGATTGATGTGCTGATGATTCCAAATCTTTACAGTCTAATATGAAATTTTCCATCCCTCTTCCAGAGCCATCGCCCTAGCTCAGGTCACCATTACTTGCTTAAAATATCTTGAACTTATAACACAACTTTCAGTGTCAAATTCTCTACATTTAATCTCCTACCATTCTGTATGTAGCCTGAGTGGTTTTACAAAAAAGTAAAACTA